ACTGGGAGTCCTAGCCAGAGCAATGAGGCAAGGAAAAGAAATAAAAGGCATCCAAATAAAAAAGGAAGAAGTAAAATCACCTTTTCCACTTAAAATGGATTGCAATTTCTAGGTTTTTGTAAGAGAAACATTTTAGACCATAGTCTGAATATTGTGAATGGTATGTTGTGTAGATTGAGTTCTGTCATTATTTCTCTAATGAATGTTGAAATAGGAAAAAAAATTCTAAAATTTTTTTTTTAATTTTTATTTTTATTTATGATAGTCACAGAGAGAGAGAGAGAGGCGCAGAGACATACATAGGCAGAGGGAGAAGCAGGCTCCATGCATTGGGAGCCCGATGTGGGACTCGATCCTGGGTCTCCAGGATCGCGCCCTGGGCCAAAGGCAGGCGCCAAACTGCTGCGCCACCCAGGGATCCCTCTAAAATTCTTATAGAACCACAAAAGACCTTGGATAGCCAAATCAAGCTGGAGAAAGAACAGAGATGGAGGCATCACACTTCTTTATTCCAAAATACATTACCAAGGCACAGTAATAAAAACGATATGGTACCAGAATAAAGACAGATATATAGAACAGAATATAGAGCCCAGAAATAAATCCATACATATACAGTCAACTGATCTTCAACAGGGTGCCAAAGCTACACAGAAGGAAAGGAAACTCTTCAACAAATGGTGCTGGGAAAACTGTTTACATACAAAAGAATGAAACTGGATCCTTAATAAAAATAATCAAAATGGTATAAAGACTTAAACATAAGACTTAAAACTGTAAAATTCCTAGAAAATAATGTAGAGGGAAAGCTTCATGACATTGGTCTTGGCAATTATTTCATGGATGTGACACACAAAGCATATGCAACAAAAAAAATGAGACTACACCAAACTAAAAGTCTTCCACACAGCAAAAGAAACAACACAGTGAACAGGAAACTTACAAAATGGGAGAGAATATTTGCAAACCATATATTTGATAGAGGATTAATTCCAAAATATGTTTTGTAACACTGACAACTCAAAAGTAAAAAAAAAAAACAACCTAATTTAAAAATGGGCTAAGGACTTGAATACACATTCTTCAAAGAAGGCATACAAATGACCAACAGTATATGTATATGAAAAATATTCAATGTCACTAATCATCAGGGAAATGCAAATCAAAAACCACAACAAGACATCATCCAACACCAGCTGGGATAACTATTACTAAAACAACAAAGACAATAAATGTAGGTAAGGATGTGGAGAAATTGGAACTTTTGCACACTATTGGTGGGAATGCAAAAAGAATGTAGCCACTGTGGAAAAAAATATGGAGAATACTCAACAAATTAAAAATAGAACCAGAAATTCTAATAATTCTAATAATTGCAGAATAAAGTTTTTCAACCCTAATTAACTCATTCACGGTTAACAATGTGTTGTATCATTGTTAAATTCCACTTCTGGGTTGCTTTATTTATTCAAAAGAATTGAAATCAGGATCTTGAAGAGAGATGTTCATTGCAGTATGATTCATAGTAGTCAAGATGTGGAAACAAAATGTCAATCAACAGATAAATGGATAAAGACAATGTGGTATATCCACATAATGAAATACCATTCAGTTTCAAAAAAGAACAAAGTTCTGCAATATGTGACAATATGGATGAATAAAGACATTATGCTAAGTAAAATAACCCAGTCACAGAAAGACAAATACTGCATACTACTTACATGAAGTATTTAAAGTACAGATTCATACAATCAAAGAGTAGTGGTTGCCAGGGGTTAGGAAAAGGGGGAAATGGGGAGTTGCTAATTAATGGGCATAAAGTCTCAGTTAAGCAAGATCAATAAACTCTAGAGATCTACTATACAACCTTGTACCTATATTCAATATAATGTATGATTCACTTAATAACTTGTTAAGAGAACAGATTTAATGTTAAATGTTCTTACCACAATAAAACTTTAAAAATAAATGGAAGAGACAATGAACAGATGCCAACTCCAAGATGATCCAATTTTGATATTATTAGATAAGCATTTTAAGGCTGTTACTATAGCTGCATTCAATGAAGTAAAGGAAAATATACTGGAAATCAAAGAAAATATAAAATATACCAGAAGATAAATAGCAAATAAAGAAAAGGACCAAACAGAAATTTTAGGACTGAAAAATAAAAAATTCACTGGATGGGCTTAATAGGGAATATAGATGACAGAAGAAAGAGTCATTGAACTTGAAAATAGAGCCAAGCAGTTCTTTGACCTGGAGAACAAGAAAACCAGAAAGAAATGAAGAGAACTTTGGAGAATCTGTGGGATAATATCAAAAGGTCTATCATAAGGTTAATTTGAGTATTGAAAAGAGGGACAGAGAGAGAGAACAGGACAGGAAAATATCTGAAGAAACTGTGGCAGACAACTTCCAAAATTTGGTAAAAGATCTAAATTTATAAGATTTAAGCAGTTCAGCTAACCCCCCCATCATAAATTCCAATGAACATCATGGTAAAACCTCTGGAAACTAAAGAAAATGAGATTATGAAGGCAGTTAGAGAAAAATGGCACATTATATACAGGTAACAACAACTTGGATGACTGTGGGTTTCTCATCCAAAAGTATAAAGGCCAGGAAGTAGTGAAACCACATTTTTAAGAGCTGGACAAGTCAATTCAGAATTCTATATCCAGCAAAAATGTTCTACAAGAAAGAATAAGTCATAGATTACCAGGTAAAAGAAAACAATAAGAGTATTCTTTGCCAGTAGTGCTGCAGTACAAAAAATGCTGGAAGAAATTTTTCAGGTTGAAAGGAAATAATTTCAGAGAGAAACATGGAAATTCACAAATGAAAGAAGAATATTAGATATAGAAATTATCTGGATAAATGCAAAGATTACTTTTTTTTCTCTTGAGTTCCTTAGAACACATATGATTATTTAAAGCCAAAATTATAAATTTATTATAAAAAAATAAAGCCAAAATTATGAGATGCCTGGGTGGCTCAGTGGTTGAGCATCTGCTTTTGGCTCAGGTTGTGACCCTGGGGTCCTGGGATCCTGTGACTCAGGTCTCTGCAGGGAGCCTGCTTCTCCCTCTACCTATGTCTCTGCCTCCCTCTGTGTCTCTTGTGAATAAATGAAATATTAAAAAAATAAAATAAAGCCAAAATTATTGTCTTGTGAGGGTTTTCACTTATGTAGGAAAGTGATAGACAAATTTAACATAAAAGAATAGATGGGACTAGAGGACTCTATATGATTATAAAGCTTCCCTTTCATGTGTAGTGACACAGTATCAATTTTATACTGTGAAAGGTTAGGGGTATATATTGCAATCCCTAGAGCATGCACTAAAAAATAATAGGTATAGCCAAAAGCCAATACACAAATTAAAGTAGGATAGTAAAATTATTCAAATAATCCAAGAGAAGGCAATAAAAGTGGAATGGAAGAATAAAAGAGACAAAAGGAAAACAAATAATAAAATGAGAGCTCTAAATTCAACCATACTGATATTTAGGTTAAATACTAAAGGCCTAAACCAGGGGTTGGCAAACTTTTTCTGAAAAGAGCTGAATAGTACATATTTGAGGCATTGCAGGACACAAACTATCTGCTGCTCCTGCTGCTGAATCTTCCTCCTCCTTCCCCTCTTCTTGTACTTTTCTTCTCCTTCTTCCTCTCCTTTCTCTTCCTCCTTCTCATTCTCTTCCTCTGTCCCCTTCTAACCACTTTAAAAGGGCAAAATTTTTCTAACCTTGTGGGCCATTTAAAACCAGTTTTTAATGGTTTAAAACCAGTGGTCCATAGTTTGCCTACTCTTGTTCTAAATGGTTCACTTAAAAAGCAGAGCTTATCAGAAAGGATAAGAAAGACCCAATTCTGTGGCATCTACAAGAGGCACAATTTAAATATAAAGCATAGATGGGTTGAAGAAAAGTGGATGAAAAAAATATACCAAGTAAACTGTAAGATATGAAGGCTGGACTGGCCATATAAATATGGGAGAAAATAGACATCAAGGTAAAGAATATTACCAAAGAGAAAGATGGTCATTCATAATGATAGAAGAGTCAATTAATCAGAAAGACATAATAATCATAAATGCGCATATATCTTACTGTTTTCAGAAAATTTCCTGGCCTTAGCACAGGAAAAGAGAACCCAAAAGGAACTCTGCAGACCTTTGAGTTAAGAAAATGGAGCTGAGATCCTGGGGAAACCAAGACAGTTATAGTTCACAAACCAGAGATGGGAGAATGGTACAGAAAGTGCTCTGGAGATCTGCAGAAGGTCCCTGTCAAGTAAGGTATCCCCTGCATAGACCAGTGCATGTGTGTAAGAAAACTACCAGAGGCCATGGAAAGAACCAAGTGAGGAATAGTGCCTATTACCACCAGTCAAACTGGAAAACCTCATGATTCATGGATTGAATACTCAAAGAGTCTTGCCTCAGGAGTGGGAAATAATTAGCCCTAGACTGAAAACTCTTCTGTTCCTCTAAAAAATCTTAAAAGCAAAATCTGAAAAGATCAAGCTGTTTCCAAGTAAATTAGCTGGGCCCCAAAATAAAGTCCAAGAATATTTTACAAAAAAAAAAAAAAATCCAGCACCCACCAAAGCAAAATTCATAATATCTTACATGAATTAAAAATTGTCAGGCATATACCTACAACTAATACAATGTTATGTGTAAATTATATCTCAATAAAAAAATTACCAGACATATAAAGAGGCAGGAAAATTAAAACTGTTATTATAACTATATTCTCTATGTGCAAAAAGTAAAGAAGAGATATCATCACTCTGAAAAGACACAAACTAAACTCCTCTAAAAATGTCTGCTAAAAATGTCTGCTAAAAAGACATTAGCGTTCAACACTTTAAAAATGCTCACTTCGTGATAACCCATGGAGTTGTACTTGTTTTGTTTTGTATGCATGTACATGTGCTGTATTTTATAAGAAACAGAATTAAAACTTGTTCTCTTTCTCCTATGACATACCTGGCCCAGCATAAAACTGAGGGGGTCTTCTGGCTTTTCAAAGACTAAGTTTTCAGTGATCTGCTGAGAGAGAGCATAAGGCATCACGTTATGGTTCTGAACTAAAGGTATATGGTCAGGTTCTAGCTGAAGTCATCTCTTGCACTAACCTAGCACCGCAGCCTTTTAAAGAAATTCATGGACCTCTACAAAGTGACAAATTGCTTTCTTACTATTGATAAGATTAGGCAAAAGATATAGAGCAGGGTTAATGAATAAAATCATTCATCTCTGTTTTATATGAGGAACCCGAGATTCACTGAAGTTAATTAACTTTCTTCAAATCACAAAGATGAGAAGTAGCAAAGTTAGGCTGGAGCTCTGGGTTAACAGGTTGCATAATCTGTGCTCTCACCTCAATACTCTACATCTTTAAACTTTAACTTTTCTAGTTTAAATGTGGTTTTTTTTTTCCAGTTTAAATGTTTTGAGGTGGGCCATTCTCATTTTACACCTTTCTAACCACAAAGTTACTACATGTACATACACATGCATTGCTGGGTAATAATATTAACATAGAAATAAACATGTCAGGCAAACAAAACCCACCAAACAACAAAGAGGTCATAAATGTAATCACTTCTTATAATTCTATATTGAGCACGGAAATAGCATACTTTCAAGGAGGTTCCAGCCCCATATCTTGCGGTCAATAATATTTGCAATTTCAAGAATTAAAAGCAACTTTTAACTACTTCTTTTTCTCCCTAAAGAATACAGGCTTTTAGGTGGTCAGATTGGTGGTCATCTTTTGAAAGTATTATATTGCTGCCTGAAAAAACTTTTTTTCCTCTCCTTTTCAATTGACAATATTTTGTCCTTCCCTCCCAGTCTGGCTCAAGCTTTAACCCTTGGCCAACTTTTTCCCTATCAGTTACCCTGTCTGATCCCTAATCCCTCTGAAGGGCTTCATATCACACTAACTAGCATTTCTTGGTGTTTGCTTTTTAAATTTTATTTATTTATTTGAAAGAGAGAGAGAGAGAGATTGCACACATGACTGGGGAGAGGAACAGAGGGAGAGGGAGAAGCAGGCTCTCCACTGCGCAGGGGGCCCTACCCAGGGCTCAATCCTGAGATCATGACTTGAGCTGAAGGCAGACCCTAAACCGACTGAGTGCCCCCTAAGCCCCGCCCCCTTTCTTTGGTGTTTATAATTTACTACTTTTGGTTAATACCTCTCAGTGCACTTACTGACTTCTCAATGAGATTATAACGCTTTTATAACAAAGGCCCATTCTTGTACCTCTAAAAGCCAGGTCCAAGTTTGTTTTTTTAACATTGTAATTACTGTAAAACTCACTGTTAAAGAATGAGGTTGAGAGGTTTACCTGGAATATCTGCAGAATGTGGTGCTTCTCCATGTATCGTAGTGAAACTTGATAGGGATCTTCATATACAATAGGAGGGAACTGCCTCCTGTAAGTTTGATTGTATCCAAAAGATTTCCTTCCTCCTTGGTATTCTGAAATCTCATCCTGAAATAGAAATATTCCCCCCAGAGAGTCTTTTTAATAAATCAAAAAGCCCCAGGAAGTTTTGTTGTAATTGTTGCCTTTATCAGTGGCACCTGGTGTTGATGGGACCTGAACACCAGGAGTTGGAGGAAAGACACACTATGATGACAAATCTGACTGATCCTCCTGGCAATGTAATGCACCTCGAGTCCCGGGAGATACCTTATGCATCTCTAATCTACTTCAAATACTTTTCTCTTCACAGGGATCTCCAAAAGACTCCAGATTCCTTTCCTTTGCTGGAAGCCCAGAGAGGGGAAATGACTTAGGAAAGCAACAGAACCAGGACTTGAACCCTGAATCCTGGCTCATTCGTCCCTCCTGAATGGCTTTCCTGTAACAGAGAGGGCAACACATCTCCCACCCTTCTCCTGCCTTTCCTGAATCTCCTGACTTCCTGACTAAACTATCACGTGTTGGTTTATTCCTCATCTTTGATCCAGCATGTGCCTTCTCCCTGCCCCCATACTACCAAACAGGCCCTTGGCTTGGCCTCCAGTGTCCCAGGTGGTCATCAAATGCCCCTTTAACTTACAGGCTTGGTTTCTGCGGCTTCAGTTTTTTCTCGACTGATTATATAGTCCAACTTGGATGAGATACAGGGGAATCTTTGGGAGTAGAATTGGTCTTTTGCTTGCAAATTACTGGTGAATGTGGCATCACAGGCGTCCAATCCTTTCAGACCGGTTACACTTTCAGTGTCAGATTCAGCTGAAGTCCAGGAATTGTCTCGGTCTATTTCTTCGGTCTCAAATTTGCAGGGTTCTACTCTGGGTTCAGGCTCTTTGTATTCCTTACTGTAACCCAGTTGGCTAAATATTTTGTCATCATATGGGCCGGGCGCTCCGTAGTCAGCCAGGAAGTCTTCTTTGTAATTCTCTCCATCCATTGAGGGGTCAGCCTGGTCATTGCCGTCATCCTTGTCAGCTGCAAGGTGCTGAGCACTGCTATGGGCTTGCTCAGCTGCTTGCTCTTCAACTAGCTCAGGGGCTTCCTCATCCACGTCTGGGTAGGTCTTTATAAGCGTTCTGGGGTCACCTTGGATAGATGGTCTATGACCAGTCTTTTCAGAAGTTCTTCGCTCAACCAGTCCAGACAATCTGCTGCCAATCTGTTCAGAAGTTCTTCGGTCATCCTGGCTGGACGTTCTGGGGCCAACCTGTTCGGGGGCTCCTTGCTCAGGCGCAGCAGAGCTTCTGCCGACGACCTGCTCAGACGTTCTCTGGCTGGGCTGGGTAGACGGTCTGTGGTTAATCTGCTCGTAGGCTCCTCGTTCAGTCTGGCTGGACCTCCTGCTGTCGGTCTGCCCGGAAGCTCGTCCCTCGGCCTGGCTGGGCCGTCTGTGTTCCATCTGTCCATCAGTTCTTTGTTCCAGCGGAAGAAGCATCTGGCTGTTAGTCTCTTGAGCACCCCCAGGGCCGGTCTGGCTGGACGTGCTGCCATCCGTCTGTCCGTGCGCTCTTTGGTCACCCTGATCAGATGCCTGGCGCCCAGGAGGTTCGGACTCCCTGCGGTCAGTCTGTCCAGACATTCCCTGCGCAGCCTGCTCAGCCGTTCTGGGGTCAGTCTGCTCATCTACCTCTTCTTCATCATCCTGGTCCCGCCAGGTGTCTTGCTGGCCATCCGTGCGGCTGTCATCTGGGGCCTTGGCTGTGCTCTCGGGACCCAAGGATTCTGCGGGAGGTTCTTCCATGATCCGCACTCTGCACCCCTCCACCCCAGGCGGGTCTAGGAGGCCGGAAGTCGCGGGGCGGGGCGGGGCTGGTCTCCTAGGTGACGTCGCGCCCACGGGCTTTGTTCCGCCCCCAGGGCGCCTGCTCTTCCGGTGCGCGTGCGCAGAGGCGGCTTGCGCCCTGCACGTGGGAAAAGCGCGCTTCCGGTGAGCGGAAGGTGATGGCCGCGTGCGGCGTCGCCCCAGCCCAGCGTCGAGGCCCCGCGTGCTGGGACTCGGTGCCGACGGTCCGACCCCCCACGGGTAGAGGTTCCCCGCCGGTGCGTGAAACGGGGTCGCCCAGGGAGCTAGCGGCGGAGGCCGCTGGCCAGTCAGGTCCCCCCCCTCGGGCCTGCAGCGCTGCTAGCTCCCCCCCCCCACCCCCGATGTAGCAGGTGTGGATTGTTCTGTTTTTTTCTCCTTTAACTTTTTTTTTTTAACTTTTTTTATTCATGAGAGACACAGAAAGAGAGGCAGAGGGAGAAGTAGGCCCCACGCAGGAGCCCAACGCGGGACTGGATCCCGGGTCTCCAGGGTCACGCCCTGGGCGGAAGGCGGCGCTAACCGCTGAGCCACCCGGGCTGCCCCGCCTTTTCCTTTTTTTTTCCTCCCCCTTTTCCTTTTTTTTTTTTTTTTTAAAGAAGCCATTTAAAAAAATCCTGCCTGTAGCAGCAGTGCCTGTGGTGTTTTCAGGGGCCCCTGGAAGAGCTAAGTCCTCCTAACGCACCTGTCAGCGAGACCCCGGTCAGGTGGCACCTTCCTCGCGATCAGCGTGTGGGCTGGGGAGATGCGCTCCCCCGCCGCGTGCTCACCACCTCGCAGCCCTGCGCGCCCACTGCCGCGGGACCACCCCGCTCTGTCTCCAGGGACAGGTGAGCAGCTGATTGCTCCCCTTTGGGGGAAGAGCTGGCTTGGCTCTTGGGAACTTGGGGCTGTGCAAGCCCTAAGGTGTGTGTGTGTGTCTGTTTTGTTTTCTGTTCTCTCCTCTCTGTTTTACCCGAATTACGCATCCATGGCTGGAAGTCTACAGGGAAGATTGGAGATCCCGTGAGAATGAGTCTTCCAAGCACTCCATGTAATGGACTTAGAGCAGAAGGAAGGAAGGTTAGGGTTAGGACCTAGGATCCCAGAAAAAAAAAAAAAAAAAAAAAAAAAAAAGGAGTATAAGAAAGGTGGGGGAGGATGGGAAAAGGAATATCTAACACGTGGGAAATTTGAAACCTGATGGTGGCCGCTGTGGTCTGGCTTTCGAGATGTGACCGCCCCTTTCTGAAAGAAGCTTTAGGAACCCACTTGAGGCCTGCATGCCCCTTCCTTTCAAGAGGAGGGCAGTTCAGAGGTGGTGACTGATGAGACATTTGTCTGACCCTTCGAAGCCTGGAGTCTCTGAGGCAAGCCAACAGTTGGTAATAGAATACCAGATACGCCTTTTTTTTTTTTTTTAAGATTTTATTTATTTATTCATGAGCGAGGCAGAGACACAGGCAGAGGGAGAAGCAGGCTCCATGCAGGGAGCCCGACGTGGGACTCGATCCGGGGTCTCCAGGATCAGGCCCTGGGCCGAAGTCGGTGCTAAACCACTGAGCCACTAGGGCTGCCCGGGATTCGCCTTTAATTGCATTCAGTAATGAGGTAACACTTAAGATCCAAACACAGATAGCTAAAAAAACAAAACAAAACAACCCACAGCTGTGATCAAGAGAGAAGGAGAGAGTGATGCCATACTTAGGAGCCAAAAGGAGAACCTAGGTACACCGAAGTAAAATAAGTTCTGTAACAGTTCCCAGAACATAGTAGGTGCTCAAGGTGCGTTTGCTGAGTATAAAGGTATGAAGCATCTACCTCAGTTATTTATCTAAGAATGTGTAGAGCAAATAGACTTTGCCTTTGTAGTAAAATAGGGTTGATGGGCTATGGTTTACAATTTCAAAGGAGCAGTAGTTTTGTAGAATTTTTCTATTTATGAATTTGAATTCAATGGCTGTAGAAAAGTAAGAAAAACAAACATAAAGAAAAATCAAATAAAATTGCCCAAACACCTTTATTAATATTTAAATGTATATTCTCCTAGAATTTCCCCCACTCACATCTATATATCTAATAGCTATAGTTATGTGTGTATTTGACAAAAGAGAATCAAACTGCGTTTGTTCGGTAAACTGCATTTTTTCATTTAATACCGTGGTATAAATTTCTTCTTTGTCAATAAATGTAATCTAAATGAAAGGACACTGGCTTTTGGAGTTAGACCAAATTTGTTCTGATTCTGTACCTGTCACTCACTGGCTTGGGCAAATCTCATTATTTCTCTGAACCTCAATTTTCTCATCTTCAGATGAAAATGGGAATAGTATAATAGCTTTCAGAGTCCTTGTGACAAGCAAATGAGATAATATATGTGATTAGTTCATATGTGCTTTATAAACAGTAGCTATTTTAAAATTCATATGTAATCTATTATATGAATTTATTTTGTTGCTTTTAACAGTGCTGCATTGACCATCATCGTACAGACATTTTACAAGCTTGTCATGTTTTTCTCCTAAAGATGAATTTTTAGTTGTAGAATTGCTTAGCTAAGGAAGTGTGCCCATTCCGGTCTTTGGAAAGTACTGTATTTTAAAATGCCTTTCAGAAAAGTTGAGCCATTCTATGGCTCCACTGATCCTATATGAGAGTGCTATTTCCCTATACCAACACCATTTCTGAATATATTTTTATTTTTGTCTGGCTAAGTGAAAGTATCTTTTAAAATTTGTATTCTTTTTATATGTTTAATGGCTGTTTGTTTTTGGTAAATGTCCTTGTTATGCCCTTGTCCTTTCCTTGCTGATTTGTGAGAGCTTTAATATATATTAAAAATCTTATTTTTTTATTATATAAATTGCAAATAAAGTTTCCTGGCTTGTTTGCTGTGTAGAAGTTTTATTTTTTAATTTTTATGAAGTTATATTCATTTTTTTCTGTGTGTGTGTGTGTTTTTTTTAAAGATTTTGTTTATTTGACAGCACAGGCAGTGGGGAAGCAGGGAGCCCAATGTGGGCCTCTGTCCTGAGCTGAGGGCAGGTGCTTAGCTGACTGAGCCATCCAGGTGCCCGTGTAGTTTTTATCTTTGGGTCATGTTTACAAAGACCTTCTTATCTCTTAAGATTGCATAAATGTACCCCACCTGTATTTCCTTTTAGTACTTTTCAGTATGTGTGTCCCCCCCCCCCTTTTTTAAGTAAAGTGTTCAAAACTTAAGTGTGAAGCTTGATGAATTTTTAGGTGTATCCATCCACACATACACCATCCAGATCAAGAGATAGATTGTTCCCAGTGCTCTAGCAGGTTTCCCCATGCCCCTACCCAGTGAATACCCTTCTCAAAGTTAAGTGCTGTTCTGATCTGTTTTTCACTATCTTAGTTTTTCTGGCTTTTGAACATCATACGGTATAACTCTTGTTCTGGCCTCTTATATAGTTATGAGACTCAACCTTATTCGTACATGTAGTAGTAGATATTATTCATGATTGCTGAGCATTATTCCGTTGTATGATTATACCATAAACTGTTGATCAATTCTGATGTTATTGACATTGTTTATAGCTTGAAACTATGAAGAACTTCTTGTGTGTGTGTCTTTTGGAGGACATAAGTGCTTATTTCTCTGGAATATACTAGACTATAGGGTTCCTAAGTCATAAGATAGATTCTATTTGGCTTTATTAAATACTGCCAGATAGTTTCCCAAAATGGTGGTACCGATTTACACTCTCACTAGCAATGCATAAATGAGTTCAATTTGCTTTGCATTTTTGCCTTTTACTGTTGGCTGTTCTAGTTTGTTGGTTCTTACTGGAGGTTTCATTTGTATTTACCTTATGACTAATCCTGTTGAGCCCTTTTACAGATATTTATTGGCATTTGGATATCCTTTTTTACAAAGTGCCTAGTCACATCTTTTTCTTTTTTAAGATTGTATTTATTTATTTATGAGAGACACAGAGAGGTAGAGACACAGGCAGAGGGAGAAGCCGGCTCCCCACAAGGAGCCCAATGTGGGACTCGATCTCGGATCCTGGGATCACGCCCTGAGCTGAAGGCAGACGCTCAACTACTGAGCCACCCAGGTGTCCCTTGCCCAGTTTTATATCGGATTGTTTGTCTTATTGATTTGTAGGACTTTTTTTTTAAGATTTTATTTATTAGAGAGAACAAGAGAGAGGGTGTGAGCAAGGGGGAGGGGCAGAGGGAAAGGGAGGAGCAGACTCCCACTGATCAGGAAGTCTGATGTGGGACTTGATCTCAGGACCCTGGGATCATGAAGACAGACTTTTTTTTTTTAATAAATTAATTTTTATTGGTGTTCAATTTACCAACATACAGAATAACACCCAGTGCTCATCCCGTCAAGTGTCCCCCTCCGTGCCCGTCACCCATTCACCCCCACCCCCCGCCCTCCTCCCCTTCCACCACCCCTAGTTCATTTCCCAGAGTTAGAAGTTTTTATGTTCTGTCTCCCTTTCTGATATTTCCCACACATTTCTTCTCCCTTCCCTTATATTCCCCTTCACTATTATTCATATTCCCCAAATGAATGAGAACATACACTGTTTGTCCTTCTCCATACAGTTTGTCCTTCTCCGATTGACTTACTTCACTCAGCATAATACCCTCCAGTTCCATCCACGTTGAAGCAAATGGTGGGTATTTGTCGTTTCTAATGGCTGAGGAATATTCCAGTGTATACATAAACCACATCTTCTTTATCCACTCATCTTTCGATGGGCACCGAGGCTCCTTCCACAGTTTGGCTATTGTGGACATGGCTGCTAGAAACATCGGGGTGCAGGTGTCCCGGCGTTTCATTGCATCTGAATCTTTGGGGTAAATCCCTAACAGTGCAATTGCTGGGTCGTAGGGCAGGTCTATTTTTAACTCTTTGAGGAACCTCCACACAGTTTTCCAGAGTGGCTGCACCAGTTCACATTCCCACCAAC